CCCTGTCAGCTAAAGGCATGTTTTAGAGTCTCTATACTCCAGTTAATGAATAATCGATTACTAAATTAGTTGAAAATTATTTCAATAATCAATTAATCACAATTAGTCAGATTAGATGTTCCAGCCATACCTATATCCCATTTAAACTTTGTTGTTTTAAACTCATTTAGTTAATATATTGTTTATTCTCCAAAGAAGTAACCTCAGCGTACAATATCCGCCTCCATATCATCAAATGCAAGCCTGCAGATACGGTGCAGTCTTTATGGTAGCAAAATGTGGCGGCTATTCTCACATCCCTCTTGTTTTTCACGCCTCACCCTCAGAGATGCTGACACTGGGCGTAAGAGCCCTATTTAAACCAGGAAACACTCATTCATAGAGTCCGCCTTATGACAGCCTAAGCCTCTTAGCACAGCATCCCAAAGATAAAACATGAGTAAGATATAACATGTATGTGATGTTATGTACCATTGGGTTACAGAGCAAGGCCAGACACACAGACAATGTGCTGCTTTACAAAAATCTATAAATGTTTTTCAGAAAAAAAACAAACAAATATCTCCTTGAGATTGAAAGAGCAAAATATTTTGACTGGATTCTGATATCTCACCTTAATTTCTCTCGCCTTTAAAGTCAAAATAAGGTATGCTGTAAGGGTGATTCTCATATATTCCTTCTTAAATTGATCATTGATAAACACTTTATCATTTGAAAAGAGAACATACTCTTTCATTATGGCTCATCTAGCACTTGATCTGAACGTTTTAGCTTTGTATTTCAGTTCATCCTCTCATTACATCAATTAACATGTCTGAAACTCGACATAAGAATTAGCAAACTAGACAAATCTGACACGTTTAAAGGATTAAACTAGTCATGAATTTGCACTGCTCTGTTTAAATGAATGAATTAAAGTTTCTACTACATTTGAATATGCTTTGGTCATGAATTAACAAAAATGATATGCAGAGGCCTTGATGATGTGTGAGCACATACCTCTACGTCCTGCAGGCTGAAGTCGTTCTGGTCTTTAAAATTAGCGGCCCCGACGCTCAGCTCCATCAGCATCTTGGCGATCTCTGGCTTTATTGCTGCAGTCAGCCTGCTGGCTGCCTCCATGACGTGTTCCTGCACGTCCTTCAGTTGCATAGCTGCTTTGGAATAATGAGAGTTCCTGAACACGCTGCTGAACAGGTCTGTAAGGAAGGCGCTGGCCCTGCAGAACACATTGAGAGCATCCAGGTATTTGGAGATGCCTTGCTGGATGTCGGCAACGGCGGTTGTGGTGCCAGAGGAAGGTGGGTGGCAGCTGCCAGGAATGCCCACCCCAGTGCCCATTGGCGAAGAAGTCAGAGAGGCGCTCAGGGTCCGGCTTAGCTCAGGCATCTGGTACTGCTGGTGCTGCTGCACTTTCTGCTTGGACCCGCCAAGCAAAAAGCGACGCTTGTAGTCCATTTTACTTTCCTGTGCACTACAACAATACATAGGTGGTGCAACAGCACCGGAAGCTTCTGTCTGCCCTAGTTTGCTTTCCACACGAAGCGGTCTGGGCCAGTCTTACAAAAACACTTAGTCCAAAAGTCCTTAAACTGGTCAAGTTAAGTCGAGAGACAGCTCAAGGATTCCACCTGCCAGAGGTTCATCCCAGTGTCGCCTTGTAAAGTGGCAAGAAAGAAAAAAAAACGCTGACAGGCTGAGTTAAATGTTTACATGCAGCCCGGCTGCAGATATTTCATGGTTAGCTTAGAGAACGAGACACGCCCCAGCCTCTCTATTTCCAGGTTCAAAAAAACAACCATAACAGAGAAGGAAAAGTATCACAGCAAAGGTTTAAAGTGCATTAACTTTCCTTCTGAATGAGAAAAATACTCCTAATACAGTATACAACATTCACATATGTATTTACATGTATAATTTTAAACCAGCTTACACTAGTAAAAGTAGAAAACTTGTTTAAAAGCCAAACGCAAAAAATGCATCCATGGAAAAAGACACACTGGTCAACAGCAAAAAGGGAAAAAAAAGAAGAAACCACTATTTTAAAAAAAAATCAAATAAATTCTGGAGTAACAAGATTTGACCGTTTGTTTTTAAGTGGGAGCAAAAAGGCAGACAGATCCAGTCCGTCTTAAATCCTCTTCACAGAACAGGAGAGCTGCAGGCAGTGAGCGCACGGCCAGCTGTTGGCTCTGTCTGCCGGTCTGAAGTCTCAGAGCTGCGTGCTGGTTTGTCCCCCGTCTGCTGGCTGAGGTAGATATTACCCGCGGAGGAAACAAGTGTGCTCCTAGATCTCGCCGTTTTCTGCGGATGCAGATTAAAGCGACAAGAGCACAAATGTATCTGTAAGGCCTCTAGGTCATCTCCTGTGGGAGGAAAAGGCAGAGCAACAGAAGATAGGGTTAACATCATGTACGAGAGAGGAAGGATGGGCTTCATTTCATCTACTTCAATGACGCAATGCACATAAAAACAATCAAAAGCAATTACATCCTAAGGTCATTTACAAAGATATTAAAAATGTTAATTGTCTGAAATGCTATAAATGGATCATAACAATGTGTAAATGAAGAGATTATTTATTGCTCACCTTTGTGAAAATCACTAAACTGAGACTAAAGTCTGATGTTGATGGATACTCCTTATTTCACAAGAGAATCTTCATCTATTTCCATTTACTATGCAAGAATCGTGTTCCTGTTTTTTTTTTTTTTTTTTTTTACTTAACACAAGGTTAAAACTTCTTGTATTTCATCACACCGTTAACCCCTAAATGTTCTTGCCTTTTAAATCGTAAATTAACGGCACAAAATGTTTCCCTCTGTTTGTGAAACAAGTCAATTCTCTGAACTCTACATTAATATATTAGTACATTATTACAGTGGAAAACAATGCTGTGGTGTAAAGCTGCTTGTTTTTTTAACTATTACCAAATTCTCCCTACATATTGCTAAAAAAACTCCCAAGCAGCGTCTGATGTAGCAGAACACAGCAGCAAAGAGACATTCCTGCTAGACACCATTGTTGGAACACACTGTGTAGTCTTAGTTATTCATAGTGGGAGTCACAATCCTCCTATTCTGTCAGGCTTGTCCATATCCCTGAGGCCTCTTTACTTGAATAGATGTCAAATACTTTGCACTGTCTAAACCAAAGAACATTCCACGTCATTCCTTTTTTTAAACTGAAATGTAATTTGAATTTTCCAACAACAAACAGTTTGTGGCCTAATTTACAAACATATGTACTGTATTTATATGGGTGAGGTAGAATTAAAAAGAAAAAAGGTTTTATTAATAATAGCAAACCCCAAATCTTTCATAAATAATACATAAATAAGCATGCGCTTGCAAAACTTTTTGAGTCAGTAAAAAGCAGACCATTATCTTTTAGCACCATGCTGAGGTTTCCATGTTTGGATAAAAGTAAAAAAAAAAAAAAGAAAAAGGAAAAAACTACCCCCAACTAGATAACATCATCCCACTGTGGGCTAAACAGCTGTGTTGCTGCCCCACATGTGCAGCAGCTTCTATTACACATCTCCCCCAGAAACCCTCCTGACCTCTAAACCTCACTTCCGTTCACAAACGGCAAGCAAGAAATAAGATCAGCCCACCCTTATCTGTGGGACCACTGACTGAGTGCAGGATCAGAGCTGATGGAAACCTACTGAAGGAATGGGGCAGGGTTTTTTTCTTTTCACTTTAACACTTCATAAGCTTAACTTTGCACCTCGATTATCATCTTTTAAAGTTCCTTAAGGATAAGCATTTTAGAGACACACTTTACCCAGATGGTTGTCTAGGTCTGCCTGTGATTAATTGTCCAAATAATCCAATAAGTGCTGGTCTGATGTGCCACATCAGTGTCATCATATATTTAGACAACATGAGGATCAAATAACAAATAAATGCAACGCTTCAGGTTACATTTCATCAACAAAAGCTATTTTTCATTCACTCAGCAGACCTCTTTTAGCTGTACAACAGATATAGATCCATCATTGGGATTTGGGCAATATCAACAAGTTCGACTGCAAATAACGGCCATCTTAGAGCAAAACTAGGTATTTTAAAACTAACAACAAAATTAAGAAATCCAGATGAGGCATTGGTTGCAAAATCAGTATTTTCTTTTGCCTAACAATTGACAAAAAAAATATCAGGATGGTTTTAAATTCAATTTAAAAGATTAGCAAACTCAGGTGCAATTCCAAAGAAGGCTCAGAGAAGTTATCTGGTGCAAGAGTGCAGGCTTCTTAATCCCTTGGATTACAGGCGCAGCGAGTATCTGCAAGGTGCCCCACAATGTCTGCTGGTTTACATAGTTAATAGGATATCAGCCTTTGCAGGGTAAACAATAAACCAGGCCATACCTAGCCTGGAGTGATGAACTCTGTATCCAATGCTTTCTCTAGATAAATATGGTAGCGTCATCTTCCGTATCCCAAGATAATGATATAAGAAGAAAGATTAAGTAATGTTAACTCATCAAGTACAGAGAGACAGCATAAAGGGCAAACAAACTACACACTAGTAAGGATACTTAAAAACTACTTCCAATTAAGGATGCAACGATCCCACATTAGTTCAATCCTTATAACATCTATAAATAATAGATACCAGCATCATTTGCCTTCTAACAACTGTTATTGGTTTAAGCACAAATCACAAAGGATTCATAAAAAAAAATATTAATAAAAGCAATTGTCTGGGATACATAGTTTTTTTTTTATTTTTTTTTTTTTTTAAGAAAGATAAAGTAAATCGCCATGAAAAGCTTAGAGTTTAAGCACTTTCCTTGTCTCTAAATTCATCTCTACTTCAACATTTTTAACTTCCATAACATTTATAATATCAAACCTTAAAACAAATAGACGAGTCTTGTTTTATTATATGGTTCACAGTAATTTTATTCTGTTTCATGTGTTTTTTCGATTAAGTAAGTGAAAATCTTTGCCTTTGTTTCGCCTTTGCACAGCTAGAAGTAACAATATAAGCAAGTCACGGTCCATTAAGCTTAAGCAGAGCAGGATCCCTGTTCTGAAAGAACTCTACACCCCTTTATTTGGGTAACCTCATTAGAAAGTGTCAGTGGTCTACATTTCCGGCCTGGCAACAAGACCTTGTAAACAGAGGTTATAGCATAACAAGAAGACATGCTATCAATATTAATGATGTCTCCTGGCCTCTCAGGCTGGCTCTGGTAGCCGCCAGCCTCCAGCGGCAGAGTAAACTATATTATACATCCCACCCAAACAAACGTGTGATGGAAGTCTTGGTTTGGATGCACTGGATCAGTGCCAGCCCACTTCAATATCCCTCCTTGAACTGGAGCTGCTTGGGGCTAATGTTAGCACTATTTCCCCCACTCGCCATACATGTCAGCTGCTAAACTTTTAACAGGAGGGGGGTTTAAGTTTCCAGCGTCAAGCTCCCTGTCGCCACCAAAAAAAAAAAAAAGAATATGTCAAGCATAGAGTTACAGGGGATATGGGTATGCAGTAAATCCAGTACCAAGAATGATTTCCTCTTGTTTATCATATAGGTGTACAACTGTGTCAACTAACATGTGACTCTAAAGTAGTGGAACTCTACTGACAAGCTTAAAAATGTATTTCAACACATCCTAACAAATTAGATATGCACAAGTCATCATAGCAGACCCTCATCAGCCAATTTTCTTTACATCGACTGGGGTAATTTTGCATATCAGGAAATGTATAATTTCAG